TAACAGTATCCTTTTTTTTCCATTATTAATGTTTAATTCTTGAGAACTGGCAAGCCCCATCGTTCTTTTCCTTTCTAAAAATGAGCAATCTAGTAAGACAACCACGGCATGTTGATCAAGGAAAATGAATGGAGTCTGCATATAAAAGAAGCTTGGATTTCGAGCAAGCTCAAGACTTGAGTGCCATGAAAGTCTCCTCTCAAATTTATTTGGAAAAATTTCTCCAATAAATATCATATTCATGGTATTACAAGCGAAGAAAAATATACATGAAATAAAATCAATTATGACAAAATTTGGACATTCAGTGGAGCTATTTTGTGAGCAAAAATATTTTTGTTTCACATCTCTACTTTATAATTAACATTCTTCAAAGAGGTGCGATGTTTGAAGGTAATTTATTTTTCAGCAACAAAATTGCTTGGGAACACAACTGACTTTCACATATACCAACCAGCTGTCAATTTAAATTAATTAAATTAAGTTAATTACATTAATCCATTAGTCTTTATTACCTTCAAGTTTCCAACCCCCTGTGCATAAATTTAGAGTCTAATAATTTAAGTAATCTGTGTAAAATCGTCAGCCACGTAGGATTCAAGCCTAGAATATTTCTCCCTCCCTTCGCTTTAGCCTCTCATCTTCAACTGTCAACACAGTCCAATCTTCCTGAGCACTGCTAGAATTGACGCTGGAATCTGAAGCACTATTTGTCTTAATCCAATATTTGTCTCATTCCCAGTTCTTACTTTCTGTATTTACCTTATTCCTGAGTGTTTTAATTTTTGTATTTGTTATATGCCTTTTCTTCTCCCTAAGCCTCGTCTTCTCAGGATCGCTCTCCTTGTGCCTATAAATGATGGCTCAGTGTATGCATGTGTAATGCAGGGCATCGCCAACATTCAGGTAGTGGCAAGATAAGCCTGGCAGGTGAATCTGAATTACCAAGTCGTTGCTCTCAACCTTCGCTAGTTTTAGCAGAAGCGATGGCTAGCTATTTGCAGCAAAAATATTTATTACCGTTTGTTTCCTTGGTCTCAAACAGCTAACACATATATTATCATATACTTTATGAACTTTTTCATTGACTGCTGTTTTAACCACATATTTATATCACAAAACATACAGAAATAAAATATAGAGAGAACAAGAGGAAGCATATGTGACAGCTGGTTCTTTGATGGTTTCCCTTCATGCCATGTCATTCCACCCCACAAAGTGCACATCTAATCTTGGAAAGTGTAATTCAGATATTAGGACATGGAGGTTGATCAGACAATTCTAGCCTTTAACTTGATTTCTGTGTGGTCTAGAAGCTAAGATTTTCTTTTACATTAAAAAAAAGGTGGGGGAGCGCTTAAAAATATTTTCACTTTTCTGAAATAGAAGTCTATGAAATTTAATTTCAGTGTTCAAAAGTCATATTTTAATGGCACACTGGTCATATCCATGCTTATATAGTACCCCTGACCATTATGAGTAATGATAGCAATAAAGAAATAAAATACACAAAATAAATTTGAAACAGCTATGAACTTTCGGCCATCAAGATGAATCTTGTCACCAAGTCGGACAATGTGAACGCCATCCCTGAAACTCAAATAGTGTGAATAGAATCATCTGGCAAGATATTATCTACACTTATATGAGCCAATGTGTCAGACGGGTATTTGCATACTTAAACTCCCGTGCACATATAAATAAAATAAGTAAAATTTACCAAAACAAAGTAAACTATTTTAAAGCTATTCACACGTCTCCCTCAAATGCGACCCCTATTTCCGCATCTCTGAGTCACTGTGGTCTTGTTCACTACCCTATCTCCTATTCTCACTAAGAGGACTTTATGGCATTAGTAGATTCCCTGTCCTCCAGGTTTTCTACAAATGCCTACAACAGCAAAATGATGGGACAAAGCCGGGCGGTGGTGGCACACGCCTTTAATCCCAGCACTCGGGAGGCAGAGGCAGGCGGATCTCTGTGAGTTCGAGACCAGCCTGGTCTACATGAGCTAGTTCCAGGACAGGCTCCAAAACCACAGAGAAACCCTGTTTCGAAAAACCAAAAAAAAAAAAAAAAAAAAAAAAAAATGATGGGACAAGTGGAAAATTCAGTCCTAATGATTCTAAAAGGCCACTGCTTCCACCCCAAGCTCAGAGATCTCAGGGGGAAAAATGGGACTTTCAATTTAATATTTACTTAGATATTTCTGTTTAAAAAGTTCCATCACACACTTTAATTTTTAATTATTTTTAATACACACCAAAATTACTCATGCAATTATATTAGCTTTTAACTATTTACTGCTTTTCTGTCAGATAAAGATTTACAGGTATTTTTATTTTAACAAAATAATATTGGAAAATATTGGGTATTGACATATGAAATTGGTATTTCTTTTTAGAACAAAAAGAATAATATCTTCTTTCATTGTCCATTCTGAGATTTTTATGTTTTCTATAACTTGATATGATTGTCTTTCACATCCAAAATCTCTAGGAAACAGACTTAAACTTATTTTATATGGGCACATGTATTATATTTTCAGATACCTGTATATTATCCCCATGGAATAATTCTTTATTATATTTTATGTATCTAGAAAGGTATTGCAACAACACAGCAAAGTATTATATAAGAAAATTATACACATACGGTTTATGCTCCATAAATGCTACATTGCTACACTAATGATGAATATAATATTTCTCCCCTTTCCTTCCTTGTGGAGAAAAGTATCCTGACTCAAGATCCTGAATGATGGACAGGTCCACCAATGATCAATTACTCCTCATGTTCAACTACTGGATGAGAAGAAGTCCTGCCTAAGGCTTTACATTACATGACTTTACTCAGAATAGATGTTTCTTCTAGGAATATAATTCTTTTGCAATTGGCTAATGTAGTCATATGCTCCATGTAGCCTTCTGAAGAGTCATTTGGGAAAGGAATTAAAAATCTTTATTTTTTTAATTAAAAATTAAACATTGGAGCTGGAGAGATAACCCAATACTTAAGAGCACTAACTATTCTTCCAGAGGATCTGGGATCAATTCCCAGCACCCACATGGTTACTCATAATTGTCTGTAACTATACTATAGTTATACTTCCAGGGCACCTGACACCCTCACAGAGACATCCACCAAGCACAAACCAAATGTACATAAAATCAAGAGAGAGGGGGGGGGGCAGGCAATTGTATTTCTTGCCTTTAATCCCAGCACTAAGGAGGCAGAGGCAGATTTATCTTTGAATTCAAGGCCAGCCTGGCCTACAGAGTAGCTCCAGGAAAGTAAGGGCTACAAAGGGAAACCCTGCAGTGGGAGCCTTTATCCTCTGCTGCTGATGGACAGCACAGACCAGTTCCATTTTAGCAGATGTGCAAGTATTTTGCTAGGTACCTGTCTGCTTCTATAAAATCTAGTGAAAAGAGATGCCACATTTATGTTAGAAGGATGAAGACAAAGAATCTAAATTCATTAACTTCTGGTATTATTCAAGTATTTGCTAGGATATTACATATCTACAACAGATTCACAAAATATGTGCACATTAAGGAGGATGTTGGAATATTCTTCTGTTAATGGCAATGTTGTTTGAATTTGGAAGAATGTCTTGAAAAGTTAACTATCCAACAAAATGACAGCCAACACACAGTTGATTTAAGAAATACAAAGCAATGACTGAGTAGAAAACTTTTTGAAAGTCCAAATGCATTAGCTGTTGTTTTACTTCCCACAATCATTGCAATAGTTTTCAACTACAATCTTTTCCAATCTCTGAATATAATATTAAAACTAGCACAATTGCTTCTTAATATGATTTTTGTTAATTTTTTTTACCAGATTTAAAATATATATCCATATCATATAATTACCTCTTTAAGTCTATTAAAAATAGTTTCTTTGGCTATAAAATGCAAAAATATATACTGTGTAGAAAACAATAAGATAAATATTTCTAAACCCCCAAAGCCCCTGATACAAGGTAATATAGTCCACTTTTATTTTATTTGAAAATTTCTACAGTAAGGAGAATGTCAAGTTGAAGTTTTGTCTCTGTACTATGAAACTCAACTATCCCAATTTTAGAATATGCTTAATTTATAAAATTATATATTACAAATACGAAATAAGGAAATTTATTGAATACAGTTTTTTAAATTACCGCCTTGGAAACTGTACCTAAAATTCAACCACATAGTAAAACTTAAAATCTAGACATCTTGGTATAAAATGATAGCAATGTTCAAAATTCCACTGTGAGAATCTTTAATCAAATAACCTCAGATTCAATGGGTGAGATCAGAGTAAGCATAACAGGACAAAGAAACATGGACAGACATGTAAAAGCAGCACTCAGAAGAGAATTAAATGTTAAACAAGTTATATACTCTGATATTGTCTTCACACAATCTAATTCAAATTGCATATATACTTTCTTTTTTGAATGTTATAAATTTTTACAAATATTTTTGCATATGTGAGCTATTCATGTATACTATGGTTTTTTTTGCATTTCCCTTCAAGTTCTGTGAAGAATTTTATTGGAATTTTTAAAATAATTGCATTGAATTTATATATATATATATATATATATATATATATATATATATATTACTTTTAGTAGTAGGGTAATTTTATGATCTTAACTCCACCAATATAAGAGTATGGAAGTTCTTTCTGTTATCTATACCTCCTTTAATTTATTTGTTTTGTGTAGTTAGCAATGAAGTTTACAATATATTTAAAAATTATTTTTATTTCATTTGTCTGAATGCTTCCCTGAATGTGCTTCTGTATACCACATTTGTCCAGTACTCCATGGGGACAGAAGAGGATACCAGATCCCCTGTGCTAGAGTGGACAGACTGTTGTGAGCCACCACATGGTGCTGGGACTCGAACCTGGTTACCCTGGGAGAAGCAACTAGTACTTTTCAGCGTGGGAAATCTCTTCTGCCTCTTTTACAGATTTCTCCATCCTTTATGATGTTGATTCCTAAGTATTCCTTCTGGAGGAAGCGACGGTGAATGAGATGTTCTTAATTGCTTTCTTTGTAAGTTTTCTATTGACATACATGAGAACAAGGGGTTTGTGTCTGGCAAATTTACCGAAAATTTTATAATTCAGTTTGCACTGTCAGGAGGTTTCTGTCAGCTTCCTTCAGCATGGAATCAGGCTGTCTGTGAACAGGGATAATTTTACTTCTTACCTTTTACTTTCATCCCTTTTATATCTTTCTCTTATCTTATGGGGTTGGGCCACTCTTGTCTGGATCTAGATTTTAGTGTTTTCGGTTTTTCTCTAGTTGAATGTGGTGATACCCTGGACTATAGGTCCAGGTATGTTTTGTGTAATTAATCTACGACCTTAAATTAAAGTTTTATTTATTTTTATGTGTATGTTTCAGTGTCTGCATGTTTGTAGGTGAACCATATAAGATCCCAGAAGAAGGCATCAGATGCCCTGGAACTGGAGTTACAGGTGGTGCCTTACCCAAATGGCTAATCTTGCTACAATAACAGCAAATTCCTATGGAATTTCTTTAATGCCCATCATCTTTTTATAAAGTAAATTAGTGCTGCCAGGAGCAGTTATGCCTCATTGTCATGAAAAGTCCTAAGTTAACAAAACATTTTAAATGCCATATTCTATAGGTCTTTGAAGTGTTTGAAGACCATTTGTCTATCTAAAATATATCTCTGTATGATCTAGAAAGCATGCCTAACATATCTACAAATTTGACTGGTTTTAAAGACTAATTTCTAACCAAGTTTCTTGATTATCCTAGTTAGTTTATAATAATAGTTTTAAAAATTTTAAATTTTACTATACATTTTTAAATGAACTGAATAGGCACAATATTTTAAAGAAGAGTAGAAACAAATACAATATCTTGTAGCAAAAATAACCTTAAAATGGTATAAATGTACAAAAGTCCTTTAAATAAGAGTAGAGAATATATACAATATGTCGTAACAAAAATGATCTTAAAATTGTATCAGTATACAAACGTCCATGTTAATACAAAATATTTGAGTTGAGTAGCTTTTAGTTTAAGGAAGATTCAATAATCTACCCTTTATTTATCACACTTCTATTTCTATATTTCTCTAAATTATTGCAAACGTCTATAATCCACCAAATAACCAAAGGCATCCAACATTCAAACTTTTGGGGATGTGGACGTCATGTTCTCTAGAATGTTCTCTGCTCTCTATGGGTGAAGTGTCTTTAAGGGTCCCTGAGAAAATTTGAGATAATGGCCAAGTCCTGGGAACACCAGTGGTAACATCTATTGATAGATTTCACTTGTTAAGTTTTAGGAGGTCTCCCTTGATCAATCCAGATTCATAACAACCAGTGATGATCAACAAAGCATTTTGTTTCCTGTGGATACAAAAAAGCAAAACCTTTTCTCCAAAGTGTTTTTGATTTCCATTTGACATATACATTTTCTGACTTCTAAAAGTTAAAGCATTTTTAAAGTATCTAGGCTAGTTTATCTCGTCAGTCCCTTTTACAATTTCATGTTCTTAGCATCTGTTGCTTGCTTATCAGCACTCAAAATATTTAAAACCAACACAATAGCATATAGGATTAAGACTCCCTCTGTATTTCCACCTTTATGTGGCTTTTTCTGTTATATTGCTTTTACAGTCTACTTAAGACTTTATTTTTAAAAACTATTTTTCTCTTTCTATAACTGCCTATACCCATTTACTTTCCCAAACTTATGCACATTGTAAAATTGTTTATTTATATTTTATATTATAAAATACATTTGCATTATAATTATAATGCACTGGAACCTGTTTAAAGATTTATCCATCTGCACCTCTTTTACTGTGTATCTTTAGCCTTTTTTGACCACGCAAGCAAACTTTAGACTGTTATGCTACACCTGGGCCCTCTGCACTGCTCTATAGGCTGGCTCTGCCCACTCTCAGGTGGTGTCCTGAAAGCCAAGCTTAAAGCTTGCAGCCCAGTCAGAAGTAGCTGACCAAGAACTGCATTCATCTTCCTAGAGCTCTCAAATGTCAATGCTTGCACTGTGGCAGGCACTATTATGTCATTTTTGTTCCTACTTAATGTACTGGTTGCTCCAGGGTTCACAAGCAGGCAAAATTTCTTAAACAACCCAAATCCTCTTTTTTTCTTTTATCTTTATTTCAGTTTACTCAGCCCCTACATAGAAGTATGGCCCCACATTGGCAGCCACAATGTTGTTGTTGGTTTGTCTTTAACTCTTTGGCTCTTTGCTCTTTTGTGGCCCTGCCACCCAGCTCCCAAATAAATCACACAGTGAGGCATAATTATTATTTATAAATGCCTGACCTTAGCTTGGCTTAGTTTTAGACAGCTTTTCTTAACTTAAATTAGTCTGTCTGTCTATTGCCCCTGGGACTTTTCCTTTTCTTACTTCTATATAACTTACTTTCCTACTTACTCCATCTGTGTTACTTACTTTCCTTTTTACTCCATGGCTGGCTGGCTGGCAGGGTTGCTGGGTGGCTAGGGGCCTGGGGGACTGGCCCCTCATTTCCTCCTCTCCTTTTTCTCTTATTCCTTCATTGCTCCCCCCCCTTGTTTCTCCTTCTAATTATACCCTCTGCCTGCCAGCCCCACCTATTCTTTATCTTGCATCACTATTGACTGTTCAGCTTTTTATTAGACCATCAGGTGTTTTAGACAGTCAAAGAATCATAGCTTCATAGAGGTAAACAAAAACAGCAAACAAAAACAATACATCTTTACATCATTAAACAAATATTCCAGAACATAAACAAATGTAACACACCTTAAAATAATATAGTACATTTACAGTGATAACTTTACCTTTCAGGATTGTCTTAACTATGTCCCTGAGATGTTGTTAGTGGTAGGTTGCAGTTTTATTTTCATTATTTGCAAAAAAATTAAAATTTCTTCTCTGATCTCTTCAATGATGCAACAATCATTCAAATATGAGCCGTCTAGTCTTAGGAAATTTTTGTATACTCTGTAGGGTCTCTAACTGTTGATTTATACTCTATTCCACTGTTGTTTGGAAAACTACTGAGAATTAGCTCATTTTTGATTTTACGTTTTGTTTCCAAGCCTATGACATAATCAAATTTTAGATAAATGTCCATGTAGCTAGAATAATATTTTGGGTGAGGGATACTTTACATTTGCATGCTAACTTCAGTTGATCTATGATTGATTTTTTTTTCTGTTTAGAAGTTCTATGAAAGAAGAGAATAAAGCATTGAAATTTTCCACTATTATTTTGTCATGAGGTATGTGATCTTTTATACATTTAAATGTTTTCTCTAGGAAACTGCGAGTTTCCATCTTAGATACATAACGGTTTAAAGTTGTAATATCTTCTTGATGGATTGTTATTTTAATTAACTTGCAATTTTATTCTTTTCCACTTTGTTTAAAAGAGGTATACTGCTAGTTTACCGCTCCAGTTTGCTTCATAGTTTGAAGTTCTTTCTTACATCAGTTTATGTTGTCCCTGTTAGTCAAGTGTGTATCTTACAGGAAAAGAAGTTTCTTCTTGCTTATGAATCCAATCAGTCTGTGGTCATTCATTTGCTTGTCTTTCTTTTGGTGGGCTTTCTATTTCCCATGATTTTCCCAGATTGTGTTCTGTTGAGTTTGTTTATTTCTTGTCTTTTCTTCTTTCTTTTTATATTTGGGAGTTGGTGATTAACGGGTCAGAGGCTATTATCTCTTTCCTAGTCATCTGTGTTCACTGTAGTGAAGGGTCATATTCCATGTAGACATATGGATGAAGATGTCTTTCTTCTTTCTCTTTGACTATTTTTGTTTCAGGTTGTTTTTGTTTGTGTACTAACTTGGTTGTCATGATTTGCTTAAACTTTTGTTTATCTCTAAATTTTCTTATTTCACCAATAATTTTAACACTGGAGCACTGGACTGAGCTCCCAAGGTCCCAATGAGGAGTGGAAGGAGGGAGAAGATGAGCAAAGAATTCAGGACCACGAGGGGTGCACCCACCCACTGAGACAGTGGGGCTGATCTATTGGGAGCTCACCGAGGCCAGCTGGACTATGACTGAAAAAGCATGGGATAAAACCGGACTCTCTGAACATGGCGAACAATGAGGGCTGATGAGAAGCCAAGGACAATGGCACGGGGTTTTGATCCTACTTCATGTTCTGGCTTTGTGGGAGCCTAGCCAGTTTGGATGTTCACCTTCCTAGACATGGACGGAGGGGGGAGGACCTTGGACTTTCCACAGGGCAGGGAACCCTGACTGCTCTTTGGACTGGAGAGGGAGGGGGAGAGGAGTGCGGGGAGGGGGAAAAGGGTGGGAGGAGGGGGAGGGAAATGGGAGGCTGGGAAGAGGGGGAACCTTCTTTTTTCCTTTTCTCAATAAAAAAAATATCTTTGCTGGGTATAGCATTTTTGATTGGAAATTGGTTATATTGAGAGAATGGAATATAGAACATTCCATGATTTTCTGAGTTTTAGGGTTGCCAATGAACAGTCTGAAGTTATTCTGATATTCCTGCCTTTGTATATAAGTTATAATTTTCCTTTATAACTTAAAATATTATTTCTTTTCTTATTCTTGACAATTTGACAATGGTTTGTTGTTCTTCTCCGGCCATGACTATTGGGGTTCTAAATGCCTCCTATGTTTGAATGTCAATTTTATTTTTTAGGCTTTATAAATTTCATTAAATATATTTTTTATTACTTTCACTCAACTATTTTCATTCTATGGATTCTGAGGTTTTGTCTTTTCAGTGTATCCCAGATTTCTTAAAAATGTTGCAAATGTTCTTTACCTTATCTCTAGAGAGAGAGAGAGAGAGAGAGAGAAGAAGAGAGAAAGGATATGAGGATATTTTTGACTCAGCTTAGCAATATGCAAATGGAATTTGTTTTTCAGCATAAACTTGTCTATTAGTGGTGTTTTCTAACAAGGTTTTCATAAGATTCATAGATTTTTCCATATGCATAATTATGCTTTGCAGTATTTATAACTTTTACTAAAATTTTCTTCTATATTTATGACTTTCTGCTCCAACTACATACTGATTTTCTTACTCTAATTCCTGCCTTCCTGGAGTTGTGTCTATTTTGATGAATCATTTTTAATGTACAATTCTAATTTTTTTCAAACACTTCAGCTATCTCAGGGTATTTATCTTTTATTATACAAGAATTTGGAAGTTGACATGAGTGTGTTTTTTTTTCTCCTTGTATTCTTTCTGTTTATTTGTTGTGTTTTGCTTATTTGTGGGGACAGATGAGTCTTCAGTGTTAACTATTCTCTTTTTAAACTGTATTTGGTTGTTTTGCTTTCTGTGAGTCCTTCTTAAGGAAATATCCCGACTAGCACGCATGTCTTCTGAAGGTGCTTTTAGATAAGTGAATAGAGCTTAATATTAGTTTATAAGCAGTTCTGATTTCGATAGCTGTAAGAAAACTTTGTGCACTACACGTTTGTCCTGAAAAGAGTGTAGGGTACTGGTATGGGATACTGATTAGAGAGTGTGAATTTTCATATGAGTATTAAAGTTTTATTCAGTGTTGTGTTGCTGTGCAGAGGCACCATGACCATGGCAACCCTTATAAAGAAAAACATTTAATATGGTGCTTATAATTTAGAGGTTTATTTCATTGTCATCACATGAGAGAGCATGGTGGCACAGGCAGACATGGTGTTGGATAGGTAGCTGAGTGTTTTGCATCCTGATTGGCAGGCTGCAGGAAGAGAAAAATACTAAACATAGCTTGAGCATTTGAAACAACAACGCCCAACTCCCAAGTGACACACTTCCTCCAAGAAGGCCACATCTCCGAATCCCTGTCAAGTAACACCACACACCAGTGACTAAGCATTCAAGTACATGAACCTATGAGGACTATTCCTATTCAAATCACCACAAAGAGGAAAATAAAAAAAAATAAGCTATACCATAATATAGAAAGCATATGGGTTAGAACTCTGGGTGGTAGTAATATAAAAAAAGTATGAAAGAGTAGATTATTGTAAAAAAGAAAGGAATGGTCATGAAGGTTTATATTGGTGAGATTGAGGTTAAAGTACAATAGGTTAACTAAGGGGATGATTGTAAGTAAATTCAGAAAAACAACTAATTATAAACTAAAATATTACACAAAATAAAAAATATACATCATAAATCAAAAGAAGCAAATAAATAAGCAGTGACACATTAAAGCCAATTATGTAACCAACCAACTAACAAACAAACTAAAAACAACAAAGAGTAGAAAAGCATGTCCAAAAATATAAATAAAATAGAAAATAATGGACTGCAGATTCATTCTGGTTGTATTTGTTGTTCCTTTGGTTATTTCAATAGTACAAAAGGAGATTCTCAGGGATGCTCCTGTACAAAATTCATCTACACCAATGATTGATGCTGATTAATTCCCTGGGGTCGAAGCTACCTTATGGAAGCAACTCTTCTTGTGACCAGATGCCACTGCCGTGTACAAAACTGGGATAAAGTTAGGTGGGTGGAGATAGAAACTGAGTGCTCCCTGGACAAGAAACTGGAGGTGTAACCTCGTTCCATGGGTTCTGGACTCACTCCTGGGACCAAGGAGACACAATTTGGGCTTTACCGACAGAAGATTAACTCTTTATAGTTTCTGTATTGACTGGAGATACAAGTAGTTAGAACATAAAATAAATGTTAGACTTATAAAAACATCCAAATGGAAAAGTATTACCATAATAAACGCATGCCAATAAATATATAAATAACATAAAGGGAGATAATATAATGACACTTAAACAATTGATAATTTAGGGAAATATGCTCCAAACAGTTATTACTGTGATTTTTATTAGATAACTAGTTAATATTGGTAAATTTAAAAGTCCAACAATATATTATCTAATATGTAAGTGTGAAAGCATTTAAGTAAATATAATTACTGAGAAGAAAAAATAGTGAAAAATAAATCTTAAATTTGTGTGTGTGTGCATGCAATACGTGACACATGTATGAACTGAAAAGAAGCTTATTTATCACAGTATTAAACAGAAATGAGTTTAGGTCATCTATTAAAGAAAGTTCATTCAAATATGATCATAAAATCAAGTATAAGCTATGTATAAGGAGGCCAACTGAGCCTGGAGAGATGGTTTGGTTTTTAGGAATATACTGACTGCTTTTCTAGAGAACGCAGGTTCAATTTACAAAACCCGCATGGTGGCTAACAACTGTCTATAATTCAAAATCCAGAGGATTCATAACTCTCCTATAAGCAAAACTCCAATGCACATTAAATAAAAAAATAAATAATTTAAAAAAGATGCTCCATAAAAAAGTGATTATAAATCATTTTAAAAGTAAACTCATTGTTGGTATACATTAAATAAAGCAAATAAAAGACAAAACTATAGTGTGATTTTCCTCATCTCTGAAAGTGGAACAAAACTGATGTTGTTAAAGGATATGTATCTGTTAAATAAACTCTATTTCAACAGATTCACTTTTATAAAATAATATTCAATACATTAAAATATGTTTTATTAGTTCTTTGAGAAATATATACAATGTATTTTGATCGTATTTGCCCTTTCAACCTTTTTGAGCTCCTCAACCTCTCCCCTAGATATACATGTTTGTGTCTTGTCTTTTTAAGCACATCAAGACTACTCTTAGAGAAAGCTGACCCTCCTCCTCCCAGCAGTATCAATTGCCAGTACTCAGAGGCTAAGGGTCAATGTTTTAAAAAGGTTGTCTTAAAGAAATAGATATGAAACAGCAGTTAAGACTACTTGTTACTTATGCACAGGCCTGTTTCATTTTCAGGCACCCACATAGTGGCTCAAAACTATCAATCACGATAGTACTGTGGATTAGATACCTTGTGACTTCTCGGTGCATATTTATAGTGAAAAAAATATATGCAGGCAAAACATTCATACACACATTAAATGAAATTACTCTAAATATTTTAAATAGGCTTTCTTTAGTAGCAATAAGTCTACAAAATGTTAGATATGTAAAAACCAAAGAGGATGTAAAACCCTAGAGAAACACTGGTCCTTCTCTTTTTCTAAAAAGTCAAAAGTGATTGGGATGATGTCAAGTCTAGAAAACTGTGTCATTCAAGTCCAGAAAGATCGTCAGACACTTATTTTCTTGAAAAATACAAATATAACTTGGTTAAGGAAGATATTTAACAGAAGTAAATTTACAATACTTTAGAAACCAATACACAACGTTATACATTAGCTAATAGGATAATATTATTTTCTTGAGTTGGGCG